TTCCGTATGAACGAATTATACCTATTAAAACTCACCTTGATGAGTTTAATTCAATTATATGGACCTGAAGAATGTGGATATCAAAATTGAGAGTGCGAATCAGGCCTTTATTGTGTTATGTTCTTTACCACCGTCTTATAATACTTTTGCCGATACGCTGCTATATGGGAAAGACATCATTTCACTGGAAGATGGTAGTAATGCACTAAAATCTAAAGAGTTAAAAAAGAGCTTTCCAGACAGCAGAATTGAGGGCAAGGGTCTTGTGATTAGAGGAAGAACACAACAAAAGGACTTTAACAGGAAAAAGTCAATCGCCAGATCAAAGTCTAGAGCAAGGAAGCAACACTATTATGAGTGCTAGGAGCAAGGTCACTACAAGAGAGATTGTCCTAAGCTGAAGAAGAAAAGAGGGAAGTAGAAAATAGATAATTCAGCAAATATTTTTGACACTAGCAATAATTCTGATGATAGTGATTATGTAGGGGAAGTTTGTGCTGTGAGTTCTAGTCATGTACAGAATTCTTGGGTTCTTGATTCTGGTGCTACTTTCCACATGTGTCCATATAAGGATTGGTTTGCAACTTACAAGCAAATGAATGAGACTGTCTACATGGGAGATGATAATCCATTACCAGTAGAGGGAATTGGTAGCATCAAATTGAGAATGTTCGATGGAATTATCAGAAACATTAAGTGTTGGCATGTTCCTCGGATAAAGAGAAATTTGATTTCTCTTTCGACTTTGGATGATCAAGGGTATAAATTTCACTCTGAGAATGGAATACTTAAAGTGCGTAAAGGCTCCATAGTACCCATGAAGGGTAAACTGCATTCTAAATTGCATCATCTTCAGGTCAGTGTAGTTGAAGGGGAAGCTGATGTAGCTTCTGGGAAAAGTGATAATGGATTGTCTTTGTTGACTAAGCAGAATTTGCTGAATGGGTACAAAAATCAAGTTTTGAATTTTTGTGAGCATTGTGTGTTTGGTAAACAGATAAGGGTAAAGTTCATCAAGAAGGCCGAGCACAAGACCAGAGACAAGTTAGATTATATACACTCAGACTTGTGGGGTCCAAACAGAGTTCCCTCCAAGAGTGGTGCCAGGTATTTTATGAATTTGATTGATGATTACTCAAGAATGGCGTGGGTGTATTTTCTAAAAACAAAAGATGAGGCATTTCTGACATTTGTTAAATAGAAGATGATGGTTGAAAGGCAGGCGGAAAGAAAAGTTAAGCTTTTTCGAACTGACAATGGGTTGGAATTTTACAATTCTGAGTTCGATAATTTCAGCAGCAGAAAAGGCATTGTGAGACACCACACTTGTGTCGGAACACCACAACAAAATGGTGTTGCAGATCGTATGAACAGAACGCTTTGTGATAGGGCACGAAGCATGCTTTCACACTCATGTGTTAGCAAAGATTTTTGGGCTGAAGCAATCGATACAGCTTGTTATTTGGTCAATGGATCTCCATCCACAGCTATTGTGTTCAAAACTCCTTTTTAGGTATGGTCCGGTTTGCCTGTTGATTATTCAAATTTAAGGATATTTGGTTGTCCTACTTATACTCGTGTGAGGGGGGAAAACTTGAGCCGAGGGCAAAGAAGTGCATATTTCTAGGGTATGCAACTAGAGTGAAATGTTATAGGTTGTGGTGCATAGATCAAAAGACTCCAGGGTTAATTATCAGTAGGTATGTAACATTCAATGAATCCGCCTCACTGGACAGTCAAAGGAAGAAGGCAATAGCAAAAACAGATCGAGGTGTCAGTGACCGCACAGAGCTAGAAATTGAATCCCTACTAGCTCAGCCCAGTAGTTCTAAAGTAGAAGAAGTGAAAGAGGTGCAAAATATTGATCAAGATGATAATGTTGATGCACCTGCGCAACAACCATATATCATTGCAACAGGAGAGAAAAGAGAGTGATCAATCCACCACAAATGTTTGCAAACGTAGCTGATGGTAATTTTCCTGGATATGCAAATTTTGTGGAGTTTACTTTGTCTGTTGCAGAGACCATTGATGTGCTTGAGCCTAATAGCTATAAAGAAGTTATTTCTAGTCTAGAAGCGGATCAGTGGGTTGGTGCTATGAGTGAAGAGATTGAATCTCTTCATAAGAATCAGACATGGAAGCTTGTTCCATTTCCAAAGGGACAGAAGGTACTAGGCTGCAAATGGATTCAAAAGAAAAGAGGGCAATCCAAGGGTTGAAGCATCAAGGTACAAGGCAAGATTAGTAGCTAAAGGTTTTACACAGAGGGAGAGATAGATTACAATGAAGTGTTCTCTCCAGTGGTAAAGCATAGCTCTATCAGGGTCTTACTGGTTTTGGTGGCTCTTCATAACTTAGAACTAGAGCAGTTAGATGTGAAAACTGTATTCTTGCATGGTGAGTTAGATGAGCAGATTTATATAAGTCAACCCAAGAGATTCATTACTCAGGATAAGAAAAATCATGTTTGATTGCTTAAGAAATCTTTATATGGTCTGAAACAGTCGCCTATGCAGTGGTATAAAAGATTTGATACATTCATGATTCAAAATGCATTTTCTCGAAGTGCATATGATATTGTGTGTATTACAAAATGCTTGAAGATGGTTCTAGTATATATTTGTTGTTATATGTGGATGACATGCTTATTGCTGCTAAAAGCATGTCACATATTACCCAATTGGAGAAGCAACTAGGTGAGGAGTTTGAGATGAAGGATTTGGGTGCTACAAAGAAGATATTGGGGATGGAGATTACTCGAGATAGAAGGGTTGGAAAGCTGATGCTGTCCCAACAGTCCTATATTCAGAAGGTCCTCAAGAGATTTAATATGACTGGTGCTAAATCTGTATCTGTTCCTTTTGCTTCCCATTTCAAGTTGTCTGTAGACATGTCACCAAAAACAAACGAGGAGATGGAGTAGATGTCTAATGTTCCAATTCGAGTGTTGTAGGTATCATTATGTATGCTATGGTCTGCACACGCCCTGACATTTCACATGTTGTTAGTGTTGTGAGTAGATACATGGCGTGTCCTGGTAAAGAACATTAGCAGGCGGTGAACTGGATCTTGAGATACTTGAAAGGTACTGCAGATGTAGGCTTGACTTTTTACAAAGACAAGTTGAGTGAATCCTTAGTTGGCTATGTCGACTCAGATTATGCAGGGGACTTAGATAAGAGAAGATCTCTGACAGGTTATGTTTTTACTCTTTCTGGTAGTGTCATCGGTTGGAAGGCGACTTTGCAGTCTGTCGTAGCTTTGTCTACCACAGAAGCTGAGAATATGGCAATTACGGAAGCATTTAAAGAAGCTATTTGGCTACAAGGCTTGGTAAGTGATCTTGGACTAGCTCAGAAGAATACACAAGTTTTTTGTTACAATCAGAGTGCCATTCATCTTACTAAGAATCAGTTCTTTCATGAGCGGATGAAGCATATTGAAGTCAGGCATCACTTTATTCGAGACATTATATCAAAAGGGGTTGTTAATATGGAGAAAGTGTCTACACATGATAATCCAGCTGATATGATGACCAAGGAAGTCCCGGCCAACAAGTTAGGCATTGCCTAGACTTGATTGGTGTGTGCAGTACTCAATAGAGCCCTCGTGAGGGTTGAGGGCAAGGTAGAGAGACGTTGTTCCTGTTGATGAAGAGAACTCAAGCCAAAGGGAAGATTTGTTATTTTGTGGCTTGAATTATTTTCTTGTATTTTTAGGAAGCCTATAATCCCTATAGGTTTAGGAAAACCCATTGTCCTAATAGATTTGGGAAAGGAAACCTATAATATTTGTCAAATTGGGAAACCTTTCTCTTATAGGTTTGGGACCTTTTGGGATCTATATATAGGGGTTGTAGTTGGGGATTCTATAGATTGTATTATGCATTTCTTCTCATTCATAGTGTAAAACTCTCTTTGCTTTTGCCCCGAGGATTAGCCTTAGCCGAACCTCGTTAAATCCTTGTGTTGATATTTCTTCTCTATTTGCTTTGTGTGTAATTGTGTGCTAGTTAACCCATGATATTCCACAACAAGAAAATGAACCCAAATATCACTGCTGTCTAAGTGCTCGTTGTTCTGGTTAGACCTACTCCAACGTTTTGTGTGAAGCTTACAGTACCTTCTTTACTTAATTACATCAGATTGTTCCTTCCATTCCCTTTATAATTTCTTGTGTGTGAGAGCACGAAGTTGCAATCCTTAAATTATAACTATGTATAAATAAATTACAATCACCTCTTAGTTGGTTCACCAATATAAGATTTGACCCTTCTTGGTAAAATTGTGAATCCTCTCCATGGTTTCCTTCAAAATTCTTTTTCAAAAAAAATTTCATTATTGGCCTTAATGTAAGTCTTGAAACAAATCACCTTAGTGATGTCTACAAATCTAAGCTTATTATAATCATGAAATAAGTCGCACCGTTCACACAAGCATAATTAATTAAAAATCGCACTTGCATCCTGTGCATTTTTAATGACACACGATGATGTCATTTTTTGACAAAAGAAATGTTGAAATATGTTATGTATAAATCCCACAAATCTAAAAACCCAATACATAGAATTCGATTAGATCTTGAGTTTCTCTATACTAATAGTGTATACATTGATCTACATCAACACCTAGCTTTTGATATGAGAAGCTGAAAAGTGGGGTAACAACATGCTATATCCAGTTAAATTAAAAAAAAGTTCTTTATCCATTGCTTATATCCTTTCTATTATTGGACACCAGAATTTGTATTATTACTAACGTGAATTACCAGGAAGAAATTATGCCGACTTTTGATGCACTCCCACAAAGAAGGAAACAAGAAACTACTCAATTTTTTTTCTATGGGTAAACTTTAATAACCTTTTCAACATTCTTTCCTCCAGACTTTCTACCAAGACTGGACTTCATTGAACTGTCTCTTATATAGAAACTTGAATTCTACATTCATCTCATTAATCTGATTCAAAAATTTAAAAGGAAAAGGAACACAATTAGGTTATGGAGAAGATCGTCTTTTCATTCTCAGCTCAGGGCAAGAAGATAGCTGATGGACTCAATCATTTCAATTCCACCATCTTAAGTTGTATTATTCTTGGCTTAGTAATCACATTTCAGGAATTTCGTTCTTGTTTTTTTTCTTTATTTCGAGCCATTCTTTTGGTATTTACTCCATATAACAAGTCTGAAACTTCATCAAAGTCAAAAAACTGTGGCCCTGAAATTGTTACTACTAATAATGAGGCACTATTGCAGGAAGATTTTGAGATAATATTTGATACACTAATGACTTTTTGCAACTCAAATGGGGATGATTTTGATAAGGTTGGATTGGCTGAGGTTTTTGATTCGTTTGATGAAACAGAGCCTAGTTTAGAAGAAGTTAAAGAAGCTTTTGATATGTTTCATGAGAATGGAGATGGCTATATTGATGCAAATGAGCTAAAGAAAGTCATTTGCAAGATGGGTTTCTTGGAATTTTCATTGGAGGATTGCCAGAGAATGATTGTGCCATATGATGAAAACACAGATGGAAAAATTGAATTTGCTGAGTTTCTAAAGCTCATGGAGCAAAGTACCATGAGGTCACAGGTTCGAGTCATGAAAACAGTCTCTTGCAGAAATGCAGGGTAAAGTTACGTATAATAAACCCTAATGGATATGGTCCAGCCCTTCTCCGAACCCTGCGCATAGCGGGAGCTTAGTGCACCGGACTGTCAGAAGATAGATCATGTTGTTTTGATTATGTAGCGGAGTTAATATATATAGTACATGAATAAGAACTGCAAATTCTGGTTGTTCTGTACAGTAGAGGTCCATTGTTTAAAAATAAATCTCTCTGTTTTTACTTTCCATTAAAAAAATTACTAACTCAATGATTACAAGGTAACAATATCTTCACTCCAATAATGTAAATATGGTTCTCTAATTAGCGAATGTTTGGATAATGGTATTATGCCATGGGTCAGAAAGATGCTGCAACAAGTTGTCAAATGGTCCTTTTCCTGTCACATTGTGCTGCACTATAAATCCCAAAAATGCCAACATTGCCAATCTCCCTGCAAATCCACAAAAATATTAAATTGATTCTACAATGCATAAAAAAGCATTTAACTTATATACGCTAATATTGTAAAAAATTAATACTATGGCTAGTGGGGAAAGCAGAACTTTCATCGTGGGGATTCAAAAATAAAAAATAAACACATAAAGAAGTTAAGGAGATTCAACAACTAATATGTGTATGTATAAAAGAAAAAATCCACCTTATATACTATTATGAATCAAAATAGCCACGACGCCACATTTGGACTTTTGGCAAATTACATATGGGATTCTAGCCGAAAATAGAGCATGTGCACTGCCGTGACATAGATCAAGGAAATGAGGAGATAAATAATATGTTCATTGCATTCTAGAGTTAGGCTGAATATTGTCAGAAACTTTCCGCCTCTGGTCTCTCTCCGACTCTCCCTCTTTTATTTCTCTCTGTGACTCTGCCTCTCCCCCTATCCCTTCTTTCTGTCTATCTATCCCTTTACAGTGTAATCTTTGATTTGAGTATCAATATAACAATCTGCTGTTTCATGATTTGGTTGTGGATTTTGGATCTATTAACATATACACATAGCGAAGAGGGTTCAGCTGAATCCCCTTTCGCCCACCTTGCACCGCCCCTGACTATGGTTGTATGACTGTATCATGTTGTAGCAAGTTATCAGCCTAAACTTCAAGTTACTAATCTCATTTATTATGAACAGTTAGTTACCTTTAAAGTGACCATCATACGGACAATGTATAAAAATTAAACTCGATAAAGAAAACCATTAATTTGTGTTAAGTAGAGACTTACCATTAGCAATTTCCTTCTCCTTAGCTTCTAATGTGGGAGCAAAGTTGAGTGGGTTGAAAATACCACCAGGGTAACCAACTTCATTAGGAGGCAAGCTATAACTCTTGAAAATAGGATCTTGATTCACACTTCCTGGATTCTTAATGTCTTGCCAACGTCGAATTTCGATCGTAGTGAAACAATATGAACTCGATCACGAACAGAGTTGATGAAGATGCAAAGTACTCAGATTTTCCAGCATCATACCATTTTGGTACGTTAAGGAGTCCAGCACTAGTGAGAACCTCAGGCAGTAGCATTCTAGCAACACCTAACATGGCCCATAGACCGTTCACTAGCTCGGCTTGAACGAACCATTTCAAGTTCTCTGGGTCCTCAGCGAGCCCCAGTGGATCGAAACCATTGTCACCAGCGAGTCTACAACAATTACGTAGGTGTTTTTTAGTCCGTAGTATGAAGAAAAATAATTTTAGCTTGACATTTCACATAAGTAATATAACGGCTGATTTGATACATAAAGCTTAGTCAAAGGCGGTTTTAGAATTTAAAGTTTTTGAGTTCATATAACGATCTCAAGTTCAATAATAACTGGACGAATGTTGTTCCTAGCTAAATATTCTTATATTCTGTTGAATTTTTTAATATAAATACAGAGTTCGAACAAAAGTAACCGAATTCACGTAAACAGTAAATCACACCATAGATCTAGTATAGGCATATATAACTTATATGGATATCTATATAGTATCGATTTTTTAAGGGATATGAGGTGAAATAAGAATATAGATGAATAAGCAACAATTGGATAAACGTATATAAAGACTAAAATACCCTTAAAGGTGAGCAACTTCTCTCTTGTTATACAATATATAACAATTCTTACGTAGTACATTGCACATCTAATTTAAGAAGTAACAATTCAATTCAACCATAATAATCCTAATTATGTTCTAATATCTGCATAACTAGTCTCTGAACCTAAAGATGACCCCTTAAAGATTATGTCGTGTATTATATACATATAATATACATATTTTATGTACTTTTTAACTAGCAAATGCAATTAATTAATTTCGGTCGACCAACCAATTCTGCATTTTGCCCTTAAAGTAAAGGTAAGAATGCACCACATAATGTCAAAGAAAAATGTGATGTTGAATGTACGTGCATGCATACCTGCCATCAAGATAAGTAGGAGAGGTTAAGCCTGGAAGCCATTCACCTTTCTTAGCTTCAACTTTAAATGAGTTGTAAGATGAAGTTGATGGTTTAAAAAACACCTCCCTATTTAGTTTACCAGATGCTCCACTGAGGAACCTTGTCTTGGCGGCGGATGGCCGGAAGACGGCGGCGGAGGCTTGCGATGTGACGGTGGCCATTTGGGAGGTATCAAGAAAATGGAATAGGAGTTTAGGCGAGCTAAAAGATATTGTATCTTTTGTGTATGATTTTCTATTTGACTGGTACTTTATTATGGCCTTTGGTTCAATGTTGGAGAGTGAAAAGTTGGTATGCAAGATTTTTGGAACTCAACGGCTGGGATTGGGTTGTGAATTTGAGAGTAGCCAATGAGAAGAAATGCCTCTTATCCTTATCTTTGAGGCCATTATCCAAAGAATCTATTTCTTAATTGCTGTTGTTTTAGAGATAGTAGGGAATCCAAATACTTGCCATGTTGGAAAAAGAAAAACACATTAAAGAAATGGAAAGGAAAATGGATATATGAGGCTTGCCAAATGGAATCCTTCATCTCCAATTAGGATGTGACACTTGGTTCACTCTAGGTTGAAGATGCCACATTGGTAGAATTCAGGAGATAAGAAATGTATCTGTTTATTTTTCTTTTTTTGTTGGGTCGAAAATAATGTAACTGGTTGCATTCTGTAGTGTTGCATGGATTTAGTTGTAGTTTGGTATTTGATTGCATTAACCAAATAATTAGAGCATAAGTTTCGTATAAATAATACTGTTTAGCCAGAAAATAGGAATTTCGGTCAAAGCGTAATTTTAGAAGAACTCGGGTTACTGATAATCAAATAAGGAAGTAATTACGTAACAAGAGAAGAAAAATTGGACTAAGAAGTAGTTGAGTAAGCAATTGAAAGCAATGTAAATAAGTATATTCCAATAATAATCAGCGTGTTCTATACAAATGTTATTTCTCTCATTTTATATCTATTTCTAAATACTACATTTCTTTCCTCTCATAATAGAGCCATTATGAGCAATTAATGTCATTAATGAAACGTTATAATTGGCAATCGTAACTGTTTCGTGAAGATTCTATAACGCTCCCCATCATTTATGCTCATTAATTGCAGATATTACGAATCTGTACTTTTTGCTGTCTTGATTCATTCCATCGATGTCTCTTCAAATTATCAAGAGATCCGAGTAACCATTCCTTCTTATTTTCTTAAACCTTTGCTCGTACCTATTAAGCCCCGCGTCTCTTTGCATACTCTTTGCCAGCTGTCACTTATTCCACGCGTCTTGACATGTCAGCCACATAATTAATTCCAAATGTTAACTTAATTTTTCCCAATACAGATAGTCTCCCCACTTGCCATTTATTGCGGATGTGTGACGTTTGGAGTTGTCGTTCGTGCACCTGTCCCCAATGGAAGAATGAGTGATCTGCTCCCCTGCGGATCATGTTTTATTCAATATTTGTTCGATTACTCTTTTACATGCAAATGCAATGTAGGCATTGGGTTCGGCAATAATGATATCCCCCAACATACCAAAACTAGCTGTCACTCCACCAGTTGTCGGAGATGTAAGGATTGATACATAAAATAACTTTTTATTTAATTGATAATCATATAAAGCAGACGATATTTTAGCCATTTGCATCAAGCTCAAACTTCCTTCCTGCAATTGAATATTTGAGAAGTGGATCTCACTAAAGCGGAAATTTTTGTCGCCATTCCCACATACCATTATACCATTTCCAGAACCGACGCTTCGTATGTCACTTCCATTTAATGCATGTGACACGTGGTGGCTTTTGATTGGTTCTGCAGTTCCTCAGCATCTTTTAGGGCTTTTTTACGGCTGCATCAATCACGAAGTGATAGTTTTTATTATGACGTTTCCATCATTACCTTTAGTTTGACGGTTTGCTTTCCGTAGTATAACTATATCCTTTGTCTTTT